AGTGACCAAAAACTAGATCCACGTCGAATAACCAAAGACACATGTCACATGTAAGGATGCGGGCAAGGCTGAAGAAAGGTGGAAAAAGAAAGAACAGGCAGGTGCTCTCCAGAAGCTCAGAGAGCTTTCCTGCCACCAAAGTCCACGTTCAGACAGACAGCATTCCCAGATAGTCACATGCACTCAAAGTTCAAAACCGCCGGAAGGTATCATAATCCAAGCACGTGTGTGCCTAACAGCTTAGCTGACACAACTCCAAGAGTTGTGTGTGAGATCAATCCAACATCGGAAGATCCTAACACACGTCTCCAGTAGACGAAAACGGGACCAGATCTGATGAAGGCACTGAACCGAGCGTGGCGTGTGTGGACAGACATCAAACGCCAACAACTGCCAGAAACACATTCCTTTTCGGTACAAACAGAGCATGTATGAAAACTGACCTCAAACCGAGCCATAAGGCAAGTCACAAAAAACGTTAAGGGCCTGGTGCCATCCTGCCCACCCTCTCTGACCACAACACAATTAAGTTAGAAAAGAACAACGGGCAGAAGAGAGATGGACTGCATCACGGAGAACTAAGTAGGAAGAAAACCCATATGTTTGCATATTAAGAAACTTGGAAGTATCCCGACAGGCTACAGAAAAAATAGTGAAAAACGCATCTTCGGTGGAACGACTGTACAAAAGCCTGCGAGGTGCAGCTGACTTCCTACGAAGACATGCTTGCGGGCAAGGGGACGAGGAGCCGCGCGTTTACCTGAAGAAATTACAAGCAACAGCAGCGCAGGCCTGAGCATGAGCGGCAGAAGACCAGGGAGCGGTGTCGCCTCACCCGCCGCTGAGCCCTTGGTGACCGAGACGGCCGAGCTCGTGCACCTGCACAGCCGGCGTGACGGCCCGAGGGGACGGCACTACAGACCCTGCCGCCGCCACTTGAAGAAAAACGAGAGAATATTACGAACAACCATGTGCCAAAAAACTCGAAAATCTGGACAAAATGGACAAATTCTCAGGAAAACAGATTTTAAAACACCAGCCAGAGGGAGAAGTGTCCCGCAGCTACGGAAGCCGCTTAACCTGGGCGCTGCCCGTCCAGCGACCCCTCGCTGAGCCTCCTCTCGGGCGGCGCCCCGCAAGCGCCCCGCAGAGCGGCTCGGCCCGCGTCTAGGACGCGCAGCGTGGCCGAAGGGGCGCGCTCTGAAGCGCCTTCTACAGTCTCTTGGCACCAGAATCCGGTGAGACTGCAGGCCACACGTGCACAGGCACAAACCCTAAACGAAACCTTAATCGTCCACACCCGCCAGTGAACGGGAAGGGTGACGCCGCGCGACCCGGCTGGGGTTTCTCCGAGGTCAGTGTAATACTAGCAAATGTATTTATATCACGTGACGTACCGCAACAGGTTGCGGAGATTCAGATGATGCTCTTAATTTTTTAAAAAAACCTGTTTGGTTATATTCAACATCCACGCACAACAAGCCCAGAGCAAAACCTGAGAAGCCAGCACCCGCTGTCAGAAGGGCTAGAAGTCACAAGGCGATGTCACACAGGGCAGCCAGGGGCAGCAGCAGACGGTGCCACCACTTCAGAAAACTGGCAGTTTCTTCCGAAACTGATGCACACCCACCTCCCCCGTGGGCAGCTGTCACCAAGGAGAAGTGACAGCCCTGCCCCCCAACGGCCGCAGCAGCTTTGACCCCAGGCGCCTCGTGCTGGAAACAACCCACACGCCTGCTGACAGGGCAGGTGTAAACAAAGCGTGGTTTCTTCCTCCCACAGGACACCGCGCGCCCAGAGAAGGAGCCGCGGACACGGGCTGGGCGTGGGTGAGCCCCAGAGCCACAGGCTGCCTGACCCCCCACGGGGGGCCCTAGGAGGAGGGGACCAGCCTGCAGGTGCGCAGCGGCCGCTCAGTCCTGCTGGGCTGTGGCCGCTGGACACACACCCGCCAAGCGTCCCCTGCCAGCGGACGACCCACCACACGGTCCCTGAAATGGGCCAAGGATGCAAACCAGGGGAGCGGATGACGAGAGGAGAGGGCATGACCAGCCTCCCAACATTTAAAAATTAATCAATAACCCCCAACGGGAAAGAAGAAATAAATGGGGCACGCAAGGGCGTAGAGTGACCAGAACCTGCGGAGGTCGGGGGGCACCTGTGGAACCCCAGCAGCGGCGGCAGTGAAGGGCGGACACGGTCGGGCGCCACTGCTGACGGTCCCTCGAGGAAACCCGCAAAGTTGGGCCTCCCTGGAGTTACAGCCCGGACACCTCGCAGGAGCCCCGGGAGAGCAGGGAGCTTCTGCCACCACCAGGAAAGGTGCCCAGACCTCGCGGGCCGCCAAGAACTCGCATCACTGGACGAAGACGGTCCTAACCCGTGTGGCCGCGGAAGGATTACTGTCCCCTCAAGAAACTGCCCAGGATCCAGGGGGGACAAAATAAAAATAAGAAGGAGAAAGAAAAAATGGCAAAAGAAGCGTCCTTCAATGTAGCAGCCGAGGAAGTGCAAATGGTCTACATCAGGAATCAGAGAAATTCAAATTAAAACCACGAGACCGTTTCACACCCACCAGACTGGCAAAAATGAAAAGTCAGGCAAAGTGTTGGCAAGAACGTGGAGCACCGGGGATGCTCCTCCCTGCCGCTGGGGGCTGGAGTTGGCGCAGACGCCCCGGAAAGCCGCCTGGTAGTAACACCGGCACCCCCCAAACCCTACTACCGGCACGTGCTTGCCGTGGAGGCCTGGCCGCCCACCAGGGACACACGTGTGGAGGGCAGGGACTCGAGGCCAACAGCAGCACGTTCGAAATTGGCCAAAACCTGGAAACAAGCTAAAGGTCCCCTGAAGAGCAGAAACCCACGCTGTCATCTTGCAGGGATGATGACATGGGCACAATGTCACTCAGAAACTTAAAGACTGGGCAAAAGCAAGACATGCAAATGAACAGAGAGAGTATCACCCCTTTTACATACGAAGAACAGGCTTGTGCAGGAGAGGGGGGCAGGGGACCGGCACCACCTCTCAGGGAGGGGTCATCCTCACCAGGAAAGGGAGGGGGCGCGTGCTATAGCCAATGTTCCCTATGCCCAACCCATGAACTGGGCCTGCCTCTCCCGGTGGCTGGTGTGCTCGCCTCAAAGAGCACGGCCCCACGTCACCCCTCCTCTCCCAGCCCGCACACCCCACACCCTCCCTTGACGCTCACCAGAGTGGGCTTCCCAGACTAGCTCCACAAGGCGCTGCAAGGCCCCTAAATCCAGCTCCTACCCTCTTGGTCTCTCCTGCAATCTCCCCCCACCTCCCTCCAGTTAGACTTCAGTGGTCTCTGGGGGGCCCCAGGAAACGGCTAGAGAGGTGCAGCAAACAGAGGCTATACTCTACACTCTGTCAGGGGGGCGCCGACACGAGAGATCTAAGGGTTGGTGGTGGTAGTGACAGTGCAGAGAGGGACAGACAGACACACTGGGGGGTAAGAGCTGCCCATAATGACCCCTGGCTGTGGGACTCGACCCCAGGGCAAATGCCAAGATGGGAAAGGGCTTGGCTCCACTCCTGGGCTTGGCTGTGAGGCCCGGAGACCTCCCAGAGAAGAGGCGAGCAGGCAGATCTGGAGTCCTTGGCCCCCAGCCCTGGCTGACACTGACCCTCAGGTCTCACAGGGTCACCGCACCCTGAAGGGGGCCCCATGCAAATCTGGCAGGTGCGTGGAGGGCCCATCCTTCCCACTTGGCACAGCCAATGCCCTGAGCTCCCAGCCCCACACCCCCAGGGGGACAAACCCCACAGACTGGCATCCACAACGGCTCGCTCCGAGACACATATAGAATGAGCTGGGTCCCCCTCGGCAGTACACCACCCACTCCCCAGGTCTGGATGGCAATCCTGAGGTCCTCACCAGGAGATCTAGTCCCTAGGGAGTGTTCCTCTCTGCAGCCCTCCAGGCCTGGTGTCTATTCCAGAATGGACCCTGGTGCGAGTCTGTCTCTCCCCCTCAGCCTGAGAGCTTCATCGTCAGGGACCACTGAGTCCGGAGAAACCAAGAGCGCGCCAAGCCGGCAAGAAAAACAGCGAGGCGGCCGGTCTGAGTGGAGGTGACTCGGCTACAGCACTGGCCTGTGGGTAGACCTAGTCCAGACATTCCCACTGGGGTCCAGCCGCTTCCCCACTGCCCCCTCCTAAGGGAGGCAGGCCTTTGCCTGGCAAAACTAACAGCCCTGTGCAAAGCGCTCTGCTTATGGACACGAAGGTGTCTCTAAACTAGGAAACGCAACGCGAACAGGTAAAGGGCCAGCAGGACTGAGCAGGCAGCAGCGGGCCCCCGAGACCACCAATAAAAAGGTGTGTGCCAGATGAAAGAGAGCAGTCACGGTCCCGACTTCAGATGTCCTCTGGACCAGGGGCGCCCTGCAGGTCACTCCCAGGACGCTCTGACTTGACAGTGTGGCCGCACTACACGCAAAGGAAACCTAACAGCAGTGGAGCGAGGAGAGCGCGTGAGTCAAGTCCAGCAGCAGCAGCACCGCATCAGTGGCAGGTGCAAGGATGCTGCCCGTGAGCGAAGCCAGGTGAGCCTCGCAAGACCGCGGGACGAGAGACGCCCGCGCCACTCCCTCCCGGCGGTGCCCGGACCTCAGAGGCCCTGCACGCGTCAGAGGTTGCTCCCAGAGAATGCGCATGCCGGAGCGGGCCGCGCGACGCGAGGCCCGGGGTGGGGGACCCCGAGGGGACATACGGTGCGGGTGGGTGCCCCGGGCGCGAGGACTCGCGGCACGGCCCCAAGCACGAGGTCCCGGCTGGAGTCCCAGATAGACAGTCCCGGGTGGGGGCGGCCCAGGACGCAGGTCCCGAGTGGACGATGCGAGGCGGACGGTCCCGGGCGGGGACGGCGCGGTGCGCAGGGCCCGGATGGACAGCCCGGGGCGGGAGGTCCCGGGCGCAGATCCCCGGTGTCCGGCAGGTGCGCGCGGGAACAAAGCGGCCGGGCGGCGGCGTACCTGGGCACGCAGCTGGGGCTGGAGCCGTCCACCTCCCAGGTGGCGAACAGGTTCATGGGCACCGGCGTGTTGAGCGCGGCGGGCGCGCCGGCCAGGCCCAGGCGGCCCCGCTCGGCCATGGCGCCGGCCCCGCCGCTCCCTCGGCGGCCTGGGCTGCGGCCGGGCCGCGGACGCGCGGCGGGCGGGCGGGCGGGCGGGCCGGGCGCGCGGAGGGCGGCGGCGCGGTCACATGGCTGCCGGCGGCGGGGACGGCCGGGCGGGCGGCGGACAGGCCCGCGGGCGGCAACCAGGCTGCGGCCGCCCCGCCCCGCGCCGCGCGCCCCGCCCCCGCCCCGCGCCGCGCGCCCCCGCCGCGCGCCCCGTCCCCGCCCCGCCGCGGCCGCCAATTGGCGGGGCGGGCGCGCGCTCGCCGCCTCGCGCCCAATCGCAGCCCGCGGATCTCTGGCCGGAAGTGCGGGGACGGGCGCGCTCCCTGCAGCCGACTCGCGAGGCGTCCGCCGGCTCGCGGCCCGCGGGAGCGCGCGCTCGCGCCTGCGCACAGGCCCCGCCCCGCCTGCCCCACCCCGCCCCGCCCCCCGGGGGCGGCGGGATGGGACCCTCTCCCCAGCACCGCTGTCCCCCCGCACCACACACACACCCCGCGGGTCCGCCCGCCACACGCGTTCCCACGTCCCCAGCCGGCCGCACCGCCCAGCACCCCAGCCCCGCACACTCGCGTATCCGGGGCGCCCCCCAGGGGCACTCACTGTCGCCCCGAGGGCCCCGTGTCCCTACGCACCCATTCGGGGCCCTCCGCACACTCTCCGTGTCCCCTGTCACGGGCCCCGCGCCCCTCCCATCCCCCGGAGGCGACCGCACCCCCCCACCAGGCAGCTCCGGCGGTCCTGCCCTCGCCCGCCGGGGGCCCTGCCTGCGGGGGCGCTCGGGGCGCTGTGCCCCGCCCGCTGTGTGGGGCTGATCCTCGTGGGACCCTACAGTATGCTCTTTGCGCCCCGAGCCCCCTGTTACCCCGCGGTGCCCCTCTGCGTTCCTTACGCCAGACAATGGAGAACATGGGGGCAGGGGCGGCTCCCGACCCTGGGGCTCACGTGGACTTGGGGACCCAGGCCGGTAGGGGACCATGCCCAGGGCTACCCAGCTGGCCCACGGGGCAGGCAGGGTGGGGAAAGGCCCCGGGAAAGGACGTCCAGATCTGAGGGCGCAAGGAGTCCCCTCCCCCGTCCGCTGGGCGGCGGTTCCGGTCAGTCGCCAGATGCTGCCTGGGGTGCAGGGAGGCTTCCCTGGCATCTGCTCCGCTCCCACCGTGTTCACAGTGTTACGGGCACTCTTCCCTCCGTTCCTGCCTGTGTTGTGTTGTCTGCAAGGAGTTTTATTGAAACAAGTCCAGTCCAAGCAAACCCTCTTTCTTCCCTGGCCCTTGGGGTTTCCCATCCCGGTGCCCGGGTCTCCGGCGGAGCCCCCGGCCACGCCCGCTCGGCGCGAGCCCCGCCTCCTCTGCAGCCCCCTCTGCGGAGCTGCGAACAGCTGCGACTGCTTCAGGCTCGGCCACTCTTCGGAGAGAACAAGGAACCCCTCTGGGGTGGCGCAGTCGGCAGCCATGAGGGTCTGTGTGGCCTCGCCCGGCGGACGGGGTACTGTCTTAGAGCAGCCGCTCCTGCCGCAGGGCCCGTGGGCTTCTACCTGGGAGGTGGAGGGCGGGGCCCATGACCCCTGTGAGGACTGGCCCTTGGTGGCAGGAGAAAGATGGCCATAGGCTTGGCGTGTGGCACGCTGTGCTGCCCGGCAGTGTGCGGTCGCAGTCAGCTGGGAGGGCTCCCTGGCACGCGATGCCTGGGTGTGCCAGCATCTCCCCCAGGCAAGGAGTCAACCGAGGGCCAAGTGAGGAAATTCGGGACAAGTAGGCAGTGCACATGGGGGCTGGACGCCGGCTGCTCCCCGCGCCCCCAGCAGCACTGTGAGCCTCCCGCGGTCCAGCCGCCCTGGTGAGCCCTTCACAGACATGGCAGCCCCATCAGCATCCCGGCTTTACCACTGAGGAGGCTGAGGCTGCGAGGGGTGTCCAGGTGTGTGCCCCCTGCACCATACCTGTGATGCCGTCTGTGCTGGTTTAGTTTTTTCTGGTTGGGACGATCTGGACAGCAAAGCGTTAGTGGTAATGACATGTGGCCTTTTCTTTCCAAACGTTCTGCAATGGACAGATAACACTTTGGTGATCAGGGTCACTCTTTCGGCCGGGACCTCTTATTTGCATTGTCATTCTCTGTACTTGAAAATGAGTCTTTGTTCGTGTTGCACTTGTGGGTAGTCCCAGGATGGGTGCCCTGGAAGTGGGGAGGGTGCCCCGGCCCGTAAGCCTGGCGTGGCCATGCGCACCCCCAAATGCTTGTAGCACATCTGCTTTTGGTGGCTCTTTCTTTAAGGCGGGAACTTAGCTGAAGAGGAACTTCTCTGGACAGCTGGGGCAGCCGGGTGTGGAGGGCGAGGGATCCCTGAGCCTGGGGGGTTCCCTGAGCAGGGCTGTTCAGAACCTGGAGCCCCAGGGGGACTCTGTGGAGACCTTCACTGAGGAACTGGTGGGCGCCCAGCCTGCCACTGTTCCTTAAATGAATCAAAGCCTCAGGTTTTCCAACTGGAGTGATGGACTCTGGCCTTGTTGCGCGCGGGAGGAGGTCAAGCTAAAGCCCCTTTTGTGGGGTCCCACCCATGGTCACTGAGAGCCCCTCTGCTGCAGGTCGGGGCTCTGGACCTTCTAGTTGGGCAGCCTGGACCTCCAGCTCGTCAGGAACTCATTCATCTACCCAACCTGGCTTTAGATGACACACTCCGGGTGTGGGGACATGATGAGGCACCAGGCTGGCGTGCCCCCGCTGTGACAGGTTCTCCCGCCGGTGTGGGGGCCGCCGCGCTCCCCCCGGCCCGGGAACCGTGTGTGCACCCCCACACCAGGAGAGCCCAGCGCCCCGGGCACAGTGGGCAACAGAGGGCACGTGGGGCCCGGCTGCTGCTGTGCTCACTGGGGAGGCTGGTCCACTCCTCTGCACCGCCCGGAGCGGCTCAGCCTGTCAGGTAAGCGGCCACGGCACCGGTGGCTGGATGGGCTCAGGCAGCTCCAGCAGGCAGCTTGCAGGCCGTCTCTTCCTCCCGGAGCGAAGCAGCCCCAGGGGGAGAGACCCTTGTCTTGGCTCTGCTCCTGGCAGGGGGTGGATGGCCACTCACACGCACTCCCCGGGGAGGAACGGTGGTGTGCCCAAGCCCCCATAGCTGGGGTAGGGGCGGAAACTTTGCACAGAAGGCACAGCAGGCGGCCAGGAGCGGCCAGGAAGGCAGGCCTCTCGCGGGGAGACGGACAGCGGCTCCAGGGGCCCAGGCAGCCTCCTGGCACAGGGCAGGGGCGCAGTCACCGAGATGAATAGGAAGGCTGGCCCCGCGGCACGTCTGAGACGCTCTGAGGATCGAACAGGCAATGTGGGCACTTGGCACCTCGCTGCAAAGGGTGCGCGGGCTCGCCGTGGGGGCACTGTGGATAGGCTGGCCGTCGCCGTTGGAGCCCCAGTAAGCACCGCGGCTGACTCACTGCTGTAGAAGCTACACATTCTCTCCGGAGCACAGCCCAGGTGAGCCTCACAGGGATGAGTCAGAGTGTTCAGATGTTTGTTCACTTAATAAATGATGATCTGAGAGCGCCTCGGTGGCCCAGGCGGTCGAGCGTCGGACTCCGGCTCAGGTCATGATCTCACGGAGTTCGACATGGGTTCGAGCCCCGCGTCGGGCTCTGTGCTGACAGCTCAGCGCCTGGAGTCTGCTTGGGATTCTGTGTCTCCCTCTCTCTCTGACCCTCCCCCACTCGCACTCTGTCTCTGTCTCTGTCTCTCTCTCAGAAATAATGAGCACTGAAAAAAAAATTTTAATTAAAAAAAATGATCAAGCCAGCATCAAACCCCGAGAACACAGGAAAGAAAAGGCAGGGCACAATTCCCGCCCTCAGGGAGCCTACACTCTCCCAGGAAGAGATCTGAGCCGAGACCAAGTCAGTGCTCAACGGCCTGAGTCCCCCAGACGCCCTCTCCCCTTACCCTGAGTGAGCTTGGAGAAGCCACCGCGGGGAGGGGCCATCTGCTTCCTGCTCCTGAAGCACCATGGGGGCAAACGTGACTGGGGGAGACGCTGGGGGCATGGACAGAGGGGAGGCAGGGAGAGGAGGGACATGGTTGCAGATGGCCAGGGTTTTGAAGAGTCAGCAGGGTTGGCGAAGAGACCGGACGAGGAAGATGAGGACGAAGACAGTGGCCACCATGCCGCCCACCCCAGGAGAGGACTGAGGGGTGCGAGGAAGGGGAGACGAGCTGTACCCAGTAGGCAGGTGATGACAGTCTTAACGGGCATGTTCACAACGCAGTGTTGATAAAGAACATAGTATATTTGGAAAAGTCCCTCCAGACAACAGGTGGCAGAAGACAACAGAGCCGAAGTCACTGGGGGTGAGTGTAAGGGGAACCCAGGCAGGGCAAGGAAAGTCCTAGAAACCTGGAAGGAGGGGGCAGCATGCACCAAGCCCAACAAGGCTGATCCTCCTTGAAGTCCGGAGATAAGGGAGCCGTCCGTTCGAGGCCCTACTTGGCCGCAGGGGTAGCTCCATGGGGGTCTGTTGAATGGCAGGGTGAGTGAGGAGCAGCTCACAGAGCAGTTGGTGAGCACGGGCGTGGTACCCCGGCACTCATGCCACCAGCACGTGGGCAATGGCAGGGAGCTTGCATCCTGTTCGGAATAGTAAAAGAAAAATAAAATATCTAGAATGAACTTCATAACTGTTAGAACATGTTAAAGGTCTCTTGAGGAAAGGAAGAGAGGCTTGCTCACTCCTGACTTGAACCAAAATGCTCACTTGGAAATAGTCAAATTAATTCTCAGACGTGTGTGCAACACCGAGTGTGAACGTATGGCCAGGACAGGATGCCTTTGCCAGAGAAGAGGGAGGAGGGGCCGCATTCACGCCAGGAGCGTGTGACTGGTGTCCCGATGACTGAGGCCAGCGGGGCGTCTGGACTACCCGGAACATGGCAGTGAGACAATGGGCTAGACGGTTTTTAAAAAACTTAATATTGGGGCGCCTGGGTGGCTCAGT